AGTTCATTTAGCAATAGAAAGCAGAAAGGGACCTTCCCGGTTCCTCCCTTCCCTCCCACTCTTTCTGCCTTTCCAGTTTGCACACCTTTGCGCTGACAGTGCTTACCTGCTGTAAGGAACGCCTCCGTGGGTTTACGGGAAATTCTTCCGCTGCATTCCAGAAGGACTGCAGAACCATGCCTGTGTGAACAGGCCTTGCGGCTGGGGAGACAGAAAGGAGACAAACCAACCCTGATTATTCCCTGTTTTCTATTCTGCGCTCGCCATGGCCTTCAAGACAGAGCAGGTGCCGGGAGCCGCATGCTCTCTTTACACCAGCTTGTGGGATTTTCAAGCCCGGACTGAAACGGAGTTGACTTTCCAAGCAGGGGACCTGTTCCAGGTGATTCAGAAGACCGGGGAATGGTGCTGGGCCAAGCAAGTGGATGCTGTGGGGGGAAGATACGAAGAAGGCTACGTCCCCTACAGCTATCTCGCCAAGAAGGAGACGGTAGAGACGGAGCCGTAAGTACTAGCAGGTTGCAAATCAAAGCAGCAGCTTTGCTGCGGAAATCCACAGCGGGTCCGGTGGCTACGTTTGGGGAACCCTGGTGGCACAGTGGTTAAACTGCAGTATTGCTGGCAAACTCTGCCCACTGCCAGCCGTTCGATCCTGAGCAGCTCAAGCTTGACTCAGCCTTCCGTTCTTCCGAGGCTGGTAAAATAAGGACCCAGATTGTTGGGGGGGGAGGTGTCAATAGGTTGACATAAACTGACCAGGGAGTGCTATAAAGCAGGGCTTTTCAACCTTTTCACCCATGTACCACTTTTAGGATATGGCAGTATCCGAGTACCACCAGTCGCCTAGCAAGGTGTCAAAAACTTGATGACCAAAAAAACCCCCAGTGATAAAGTACAGGTAGTCCTCGACTTACAACAGTTCGCTTAGTGATTGTTCAAAGTTACAATGGCACTGCAAAAAGTTCCCCCCAAGCCACAGCCGAGCAAGACACCTGCATGTCCGCCCAGCCGTGCTCTTCCTCCTGTCCGAGGTTTTCATTGTTGTGGGCATTTCTGTTGAGGATTGGCAATGTGGGTGGTGGTGGGGTGTTTGGTTTTTATTCCCCCCGTCTGCTGGGTGGTTGCAACAGGTTTTGGTCATTTCACATGACCCTGGGGCACTGTGACCGCCATAAATATGAATCAGTTGCCAAGCATCTGAATGTAAAGCACAAGACCCTGGAGATGCTGCAACGTTCCAGCTGATCAGCGCTTCTTCTGGGCTCAGCAGAAGCGCCAGGATCAGTGCTGCTTTCCAGCTGATTGGTGCTTCTTCAGGGCTCAGCAGAAGCACCAGGATCAGCACCGAGCTCCAGCTGGAGCCTCGCGCTGATCCTGGTGCTTCCACTGAGCCCCAACAGCCCCGAAGAAGCGCCGATCAGCTGGAAAGCGGCATTGATCCTGGCACTTCTGCTGAGCCCTGACAGCCCTGCAGCTCCAGCCATCTCTCGCTCAGGCTTGTGTGGTGCTACCACCTGTTCAGCTCATTCCCCTCCCTCGCTACCACTTTTCTAGGATGGTCACGTTCACCTGCCAGGTGCCAATGTACCACAGGTGGTACCCGTACCACTGGTTGAAAAGCCCTGCTATAAAGCACTGTGCGACGGTATATAACTCTAAGCAATATTGCTATTACTATTGCTATGGCTATTGGGAACTTGGCACAGTTCTGCGTGAGTAAACATTGGCTGAAAGGACAACTTGAGATCCAGATGTATTTTCAGACTGTTTGAGTCCTAAGTGGCAGGGAAATGGGGCACCCAGAAGAGGCTAGAGCAGTGTTTGTCAATCTTAGCTACTTTAAGATGGAAGGGACTGGGGGATTCTGGGAGTTGAAGTCCATACCTCATTGACAGGGAACGGGGGCATCCAGAGAGGCTAGAGCTGTGTTTATCAATCTTACAACTTGAAGATGTCTGGACTTCAACTCCCAGAATTCCCCAGCCAGCCATGCTGGCTGGGGAATTCTGGGAGTCGAAGTCCAGACATTTTAAAGCGGCAAAGGTTGAAAAACACTAGATTAGACCAGTGATGGCGAACCTTTTAGAGACCGAGTGCCCAAACTGCAACCCCAAACCCACTTATGTATCGCCGGGTGCCGGGTGGGTGTGGCTTGGCAAACTGGGTAGGCGTGGCTACTGGATGGGTGTGGCTGCAGTAGTCATGGCAGATTGGGTGAGCATGGCCGGGGTGGGCGTGGCCACCTTGATGTTGCTTATGGGGAGGGACACCTGTGGGAGCCGGGCAGGGTTGGGGGAGATCCAGAGGGTCTCTGGCGGGTGGGATGGTGGACTCCCCAATGACGGCTCCAGGCTGGCTGGCCTTAGGCCAGTGATGGCAAACTTTTAGAGACCATGTGTGCTGGGGCGATGGCGCGTGCCCACAGAGAAGGCTCCGCGTGCCGCCTCTGGCACGCGTGCCATAGGTTCGCCACCACTGGATTAGACCATCAGAATTTCACCCCCTCATCATCGTGAGAATCTCCTTCCAGTTCCTGAGAATGACCAACCTCTTTCCCTGGACATTTTTTCATGGAAAGACCAAAGGTTCCAGTTCAGCTTGTTTTCCAAGAAGCATTCCCCAAAGACACCAGTTCCCCTAATTTTCCCTCCCAGTCCCTGCTGGGAAATCCATCCCGTGCTGCCCATCGCTGCCACACATAGAGACCAAATGACTTGAAGATGACTCAAGTTAGCCAGCCAAGCTGCATACAGGTGAAAACTGCAGACGCAGCAATGGTGTCATAGAAACTGAAGAGGATCAGGGATACACGGGTCTCCAGTCCATCATCCCCTGCCTGTGCTCAGCACCCTCGCCCCCCTTTTTTTTCCAGTTGGGAAAAAGATTGTTAGAATAGATCAGTGGTTCTCAACCTTTTTAATGCCGCGACCCCCAACTGGTCGTAAGTCAAGGACTAAACCGGTCGTAAGTCGAGGACTACCCAACCGGTCGTAAGTCGAGGACTTTCCCTGCCCAGGAGCACTGCGCATGCGTGGTTCCGCCCCCTGTGCCGGCCGAGGCATAGCTGGCAAGCGGCAGAGACGGAGCAGGCCGACCACCAGCTGGCCCAGCCCAAGGGAGGTAAGGCACCCGCCGGAAAAGGGGGGAAAAATGGCGGACAGCCTTGCTTGGCGACCCCCGTGAAATGGTCGATCGACCCCAAATGGGGTTGCGACCCATAGGTTGAGAACCGCTGGAATAGATGGACATGGGTCCGATACAACCGGCTATTTCTTCTTTTTTTCCCCTCTACCGTCCCCCTATAGATGGTTTTTTGGGCAGATCTCCCGTTCCGAAGCGGTGCTTCGGCTGATGTCCAAAGAGAATAACTCTGGAGCTTTCCTGGTTCGTATCAGTGAGAAAATCGGAGCAGATTTCGTACTTTCAGGTAAGACTTTGTGCCGCAAAGAAGCACTGGATCCTTCAGCTCTTTTCTGAATCACAGGCGGGTCCTCGGCTTACAACTGTTTCTTTAGCGACGGTCCAATCTCTTTTTTAAAAGGTTCCAAGTTACAACAGCACTGGGGGAAATGACAACTAGTCCTCTCATTTACAATCATTGCAGCCTCCTCCCTCGCCCCCTGCCCCCCCCACCATGGTCACTTGGCAACTGGCATGTATTTATGACGGTTGCAAAGCCATGGGGGTCACGTGATCCCCATTTGTGACTATCCCAGCAGACTTGCGACAAGCAAAGTCGACGGAGGGGAATCCAGATTTGCTTAACGACTGCATGAGTCACTTAACAACGGCACCAATTTGCCCAGCCGCCGTGGCCCAAAAAAGCTTGTAAAATCAGCCGTGAGTCACTTAATTGTGGTCATAAGTTGAGGACTTCCTGGAGTGACTCCTGGAGCAGCTTAGAATAGAAACGGGAGCTCCGGTTCACCCACTGAAACGACTCTTAAGAAGAGAGAGAAAGAAGAAGAAGAAGAAAGGATTTTTTAAAAAAAAGACTCTTTTCTCTTTGGGCCAGATTTTGCAAAACTTTTAAGTGGGGCTGCAGGATGAAAAGAGTCGAGGTAATGGCCTCAACTATGTTCTTTTTGAGCCCACATCTCTTTTTCATGTGCGTTGTACACTAGTACATGTTAAAAAAGGGTGGGGCTTCCCATGGCACGGTCAGAGTTTAACTAAGGCAAGCCTATCAACTTTAGGATGTGTGGACTTCACTTCCCAGAATTCTGGGCGTTGAAATCCCCTCATCTTAAAGTTGCTGAGGTTGACAAACACAGATCTAAAGACTTCATTAAAATCCTTCCTTCCTTCCTTCCTTCCTTCCTTCCTTCCTTCCTTCCTTCCTTCCTTCCT